ATCCGAAATTACAAATAGCCGAATAAATAATTAATGGAAAAAATTTTGGCGCTATTTTTAACCAATCACGATTTTCTTGATAATTTCTGTTTGGTCTATTTTAAAAAATCGCACCGAAATTTTTTTGTTGATTGTATTTGCAATTTCGGACAAATGAAGATTTTTCATTTTAAGAATTGTATCAAATAAGAATTTGGTACCGTAAACAATTTTTTCATTTAGAGATCTTGAAATTTTTTTTTTTTGGCGCACATGATTCAAATTCCACTGAACTTGACAATTTTTTTTTCTTCTTCTTCTTCTTTTTCTTCAGCTTTGCCTCAATCTCGGGGAAAGCGGATTATCTTATCTCGATGTAATCGGCGTTAGACTTTTCTAGAAAATTTTCCCTCGAGTTGGAATTCTATCGCTGCATCATCTTCGAGGACGATCGATCGACTTAGAGGCAATTTCCTTCCTTGGGTACCTTTATTACAGTCAATTACGTCTGACAGATCGATTATCCCGTCGCACACGTAACTCTATTTCCTTTTCTCTTTTTCCCCTCCCCATCTTCTTTTGCTTCGTTCAGGTTTAAATTGGAAATTTTTTTTTGTCTATATACGAATTTAAATATGCGTGATTTGATTTATATATATATATATATATATATATATATATATATAAATGTTTTAAATCCAACGATGAGGTTATTGGCGTAGAATCGTTAGTATAATTGAATTTTAATTTTTATCTATTTTAATGTGTTGAGAAAAATCTTCCATGAGTTTCCTATCTAGGTTGCGTCGGTAAAGTAGACGTAGAGGGCGCCATTGGACATTTCTCGTAGAAAAAAAAACGGTGAAAGCAGAGATTGGGAAAGTTAAAGATTAAGCCAAGTAAGAATTAGATTATATAAAGATTAGACCACATAAGAATTAGGTTATATTAAGATTAGACCACATAAGAATTAGGTTATATAAATATTAGGACAAATTTTGAAATTTTAAATTAAAATCTAATTTTAACTTGAACCATATTTCATATTTGGCCTAATATTTATTTAACCTAATTCTTATGTGGTCTCATCTTTATTTAACCTAATTCTTATTTAGCCCAATCCTTAATTTGGTTTAATCTACATTTGACATAAGTTTTGACACTTGCGCTTTTTCGAATTGAGTCCTTTTCTAAATTCACGATTCAATTTTAAATTATACTTGTATTTGTCGATAAAACCCAATTTTTAGTTTGTGGTTATGTCCGCCTTTCAATTTTGATCAGAATTTTTCGAAAAATTCTTTGTTCATTGAAAATTTGCTTTCAATTGAAAGAAATTCTATATAGAGAGAAATTGAATAAAAGTGTGAAATGAAATTTTGTGCTTTTTGGAATATGCGAGAACTTTGATAACTGAAGATTGCGTTGCATTGCTATATATATATAGGAAGTTCCTTTTGAATGTGTGTTTCGTTTCTCGATTTCGCCTAAGGGAATAAGTTTGAGTTTCACAAATCAAATTCTTGGATTCTTGGGACGAAAAATATATGTCTCTTCTTCTTTTTTTTTCTCACACTTTTCTCGTGCCCTAAGGTGTACATATAACTTGTATACTCGAGTCTCTTATGTTTTTCTATAGACTGGAAAAAGGCCTCTATATATCGGATTAAGGTCGACTTCATCATCACAAGTGTGATGGTAGCAGCCCTACGAGGTTACTCGATTGTTTTAAACTCGTTCAAGTAGTGAAACATCTTCACTTGAAGCCTTTGAAAAAAGAATACAACAAGGTTAAATAATGCTCATAGAAAAATGCCCATCTGATATCTTTCTCTATATATATAATAGATTTACAACTTTTATTTCATCAATGATTTTATAAATTTTTTTTTTTATTTAACAATTTGTACGAATGAACATATGTTTTCTAAAGTTTCAGAAGGTTCAGAAAAATATTTTTAAAAAAAGTTTTATTTGAAATTTTTTTTCTCATGCAAAAGAAGTTTGGAATAAAGATGTGTTTGTAATCGTTAGATTTGTACTTTGAAAAGCTCGTTAAGTGAAAATAAATGGCGGGTTTCGCGACTTGAAAATATTTGAGTTGCTTGCCAGAAGACTTTTAACGCTTGAGTAGTGATGTATTAAGCATAATTTTCTACTTCAGCTTCGTTAAACAGAGAAAGAGGGATAAAAAAAGAGAGAAATAGAGATTTCGATGCCAGGGAATGAGGGAAGTAAATTCTCTGAACATTGGCAAATGTTAACTCTAATTTTCTTCGGGCGTGGTCGTCGATTTTCAAAAGCCCATAGGAAACTAAACACCAATATGTGTTAATCTAATCGAAATTTAGATCAATATTTATCAAATTGCCTCTCTCTCTCATTTCCAGCACCAATTTCCCGAAACTAATTTCGATTTGAGATTCTATCTCTTGATTTTCATAATTCTCTACGGAGAATTATATTCTCTTCCTCTAATTACGGTTTTCATTCTTGATATATGGGTGATTCTTACAAAAAGAGGATATTTTCGTGCCTTTGTGTTATATTATCTAAATATATTGTCATTGAATTATTTGCTTTAGACAAAAATGTCATTTTTGCTCTAACATAACCTCAAAACTGAAAAATGGTTTTTAACGCAAAACAAAACGTTTTCAATTGACAAAAAGCGATAAAAACTTAAAGATAGACACGATAAAAACTTACTAACAAGTATTTTTTTATTTTCCCTTGGTTTAAATTATGTTAGAAATAAATTTTAGCATTCGGATGTCAACCAAAGATGCCAAATGTTAGCAAAAGCAACTGCGCTTGCGCTACTATAACTCTCTTCCATTGGTATAGAAAAATGGGACACATTAGTATGTTCTAAATATCATTAGTTAGAATTTTCGTTTTATGGAAATTCATTTGTCATAATTATTTTTGAGCCGAATTTTTATTTGTTCGAATTAATATTTTGCAGGAATTTTCATCAAAACGATTTTCTATATTATACAATTTTTATATAACCGAATTACATTACAATGAATTACATCCTTTAAATACAAAAAAATACAAATTTAGAAAAATAATTGTACATTTATTACGGAATGACCCCAAAAAAGTCCAAAAAAACAGTTATAACTTTTAAACAAATTATCGGATCGTTGTAAAACTTGGCAATTATGTTTTTTGCAATAAATAACACCCTTTAAAGGAAAAAAATTAGAAATTTAGAAAAGAATCGTATAATTATTATGGAATGTCCCAAAAAAAAAAAAATGAAAAAACGGTTATAACTTCTAAAGAAATTAAAGAATTTTTATGAAACTTGGTAATTATGTTCTTTGCCATAAATTACATTCTTTGATTGCAGAAAGATACAAATTTAGGGAAAAAAAACGTATATTTATTACGGAATGACCCAAGAAAAATCCAAAAAACAGCTATAACGTTCAAAAAAATGAAGTTATAAAACTTGATAATTTTTTTGCAGAATTTTTATCAAATAATCAACAAGTTTCCATAACGATCCGATAATTTTTTTGAAAGTGAATACTGTTTTTTTTTTTTTTTTGCATTTTTTGGATCATTCCATAATGAATATAATTTTTTTTTTTAATTTTGTATCTTTCTGTAATAAAAACATGTCATTTATCGCTAAGAACATAATTACCAAGTTTTATAAAAATTCGTTAATTTCGATAGAAGTTATAACCTTTTTTTGGGGAATTTTCATGGAATTTCATTTATCATAATTATTTTTGTGTCTAATTTTTATTTATTCGAATTAGTATATTGCAGAATTTTCATCAAAACGATTTTCTATATTACAGAAATTTTATATAACCGAAAATTCATTTCACAGAATTTTTATTTGTTCGAATTTTTGATTTTGGAATTAATTTTCTGAAATGAAAATCAAATTCCGTAGATATAATTCTTTATTTATTATGTTTCATAATATTAATTGCCGTTTAATGAAAATTGAAAATCAAGTAAATTCCATATTTATATATACGGTTAAATAAACTTCCTCTCAATCGAGTAGATTGCTCTCTAATTTCAAAGTAAACCACATACACATACAGGCTAAATATCAAATTCTACCTGTGGCTTTGCGCGCTTCTTAACTCAAAATAATGTTAGCTTTGCAATAATAATTCAACACGAGGGAGGATACTTCGACCTGAATTTCAAATTAGATCATTTGAATCCTGAATGTGTTTTCACCTGTTTTATGCAAATTAAGTTTCATGCATCCCATTTTCAATATTCTCGCCCGCTTGTATCACAAATGCGCGCATGTTCTTTTATATTTTAGGAAATAATATATATATTTATATATGATTTTTCATTATCATCATTTATATTAGCACATTTCTTTGTCTCAAGGAGGTTAACATTAACATAACCTCAAACTAAAAATTAGTTTTTCAGAACGAAAAATATATATATTTAAAATTGATTTTATATTTGATTATACGATATTCCAAAAAAAAAATTATTTTTAGTTAAAATTTGTTAAATAATAATATTTCCAAACCGAAAGTTTCATATTTAAAAAATAAAAAATTTTTTTTTCCAAATTAAAAAATTTCCAAAAGTAAAATGTCCCAAAGAATAAAATTTTCAAAATAAAAATTCCTAATAAAAAAAGAAAATGATGAACTGTTAAAGAAGAATAAAAAATTTGTTAATTACAGAAAATAACAAATGAATGTTTCTTTAAATGGAATTTGCATTTTTAAAGTTTAAAAAAATAAAAGGCCAATTTTTGGAGAAAAAAAACGACAATTGGAAAAAAAATATTTTGAAAAAAATGTCCTTTTTGGGAAAATAATAAACTTTGGGCTTTTTGGAATTGTAACTTTGAAACTTTTTTGTCTCTCTATACCATTTTTGATTATTAGTGTGATAAAAAAAATAATTATATAAAAAATTTTTTTATAATTTTTAAAAACTTTAGAAAAAAAAGAAATAGAACTGAAAATGTGACATGTTTTTTTAAATGATGAATTTTTATTTTGTTGCAGTGTGCGTCCAGTGGCCAGAGGGTAGGTGCATCCACGATGTGCCTGAAGAGGCACTTCGGACTCTTTACTCAGAAATCAGGGAAAATTGCCAGGGATTCTCTTGAAGGCGATTCCAAGGCCGATGACATTTCCAAAAAGCAGCTCATACATTCTGAAAGCAAGCGAATTTTCGCATAGAATCCCCACATCCGCCACACCACGACCAAGCCATTAAAAAAAAAAAAAAAAAAAAAGAGAGACAAGTCGAGTGTACATATAGACCACAGTAATTTTTCTTTTATCGATATACACGACGAATTTTTTTTTTCCACCGGAAATGTAACGTCGCGGATACTAAAGGTATTTTTGATTTTTTTTTTAAATTTTTATCAGCGATTCAACTTTAATCGTACTTTGCCATTTGAATTACAAAAATTTTCAAATATAAAAAAAAATAGCTAACAAAAATATTTAATTAGCATTACGAGTTGGAAAAATTGTAATTTTTTCTATTTTTATTTCTTTAACTTAAGAAAAGAAACTAATTTGATCACATTTGAAATTAAAAATTAAAATTAAAATCTAATAATTTAACATGCAAATAGAATATACTAAAAATGATCGAATTTCATATTAAAATGAAATTTAAAATTCCAATGAATATTTTTAAATGGCAATGGACTTTTTTAGTTGAATTAAAAAACCGATTGAAAACCTTTTTCTTTGAGGTTTTTTTTTTTATTTTTTTTTTTTTTAATTCCGCCAGTATTTCTCGATAATAATTTCCTATTTCGGTCCTAACACTGACCTGTTTTAGAAAGGTCCTCGACATACATATTTTTAATATTCGAGTTTTAGGTTTCGCTGATTCTTTCTGCAACCAAGGTGGGTCCATTTTTTTTAATTTACAATATTAATCAGTCTTTAAAAAAAAGGCCAGTTTTTAATTTAACTTTCTCGTAACGAGGAAGTCAAATTTTTAGAAAAACAAATTTTTTTTAATTCGAACTCAAAAATCGGAAATTGAACTGAAAAATTAATATTTTCAGTTTAGTGAAAAGTTTAATTAGAATAATTTTTCCTGTAATTATCGTCTATTATATAAAGTGACGGCGAAATTACAATTTTGAGAAAAATAGTTTTTTCAATTGAAACCAAAGATGACTGAAAAAAAAGAAAAACTTGGGATTTTGTAGAAAGCAAATAAAAATTAATTTCGGGAAAAATTAATGAAATTAAAAAATTAAAATTTGGGATTAAAATCAAAATTTGAAAGTTCAAAATGCGTTGATGACAAATCTAATATGGTCAGTGATAGGACGAATAGGTTTTAAAAATTCAAAACTCAGGTGATTTTACTAAAAATAAAAATAGGAATTTTTTTGATAATTCCTACCAATAGTGAGAAAGAGACAATAGAACAATAAATGCAGTCCTAGTGTCTTAGAGTGATAAATAATCAGGGTTTTAGATAATAGATAATAATTTTTTTTACACCTATTTTTTAAAGTTTTACAAATTTTTTTTTTACAATTTTTTACAAACTAGTTTTTTTTTACTAGTTTCTTTTACAAAACTAGATACGATTTTTTAATAACTTTTTTACAAAGTTTTTTTAAATACTCAAAAGCATTCCACGATTCCAAGAATCGTAATATTTCTTTTTTTTTCCTATATATAAAAATTGATTGATGATAAAAAAAAATCATCTCGTGATAACAAATACAGGGTAATTTTTCTAGTGTGATTATATTTTTTCAAATAACGTAACTTATTCTCTGCGTGATAAAAAAAAAAAAAAGAAAATTAATTTCTTTTTTTCCATCTCAAGTGTGAAAAAGTGTGTATTAGATTTTTAGTCAAATATTAGAACAAATTGCATGACGAGAAAAATTCGAAATCAAAATAAAAAAGTGCATCAATGAAGAAAAGGGAAATGGAACAAGAAATTATGGAAAAATTGATAAAATAGAATTCGAAAAAAAAAATTTGAAAGAAAATGGAAAGAAAAACAGAAATTTCAAAACAAAAAAAAAAAAAACCACAACCATGGATCAAAAGAAGAAGAAGAAAAAAAATGACTTTTAGAGACAATTTTATAACGCGAGTGAAGTGCGAAGAAGAGAGACTCAGCGACTCATAATATTAAAATTAAGAATTGTACATCTCCGTCAATGCAATTTTTTATACGATCTTTACACTGTCAAAAAAAAAGAAGAACGAAAAAGAAAAATAAAGAAATTTTTTTCTCGAAATATTACATGGATCCATAATGATTTACACACGAGAAATTCTCATTCCTCGAAGGGGATTTTTATTAATCCTTATATTAATATAGTAAAGATCCAGCATGTACTTGCATTGTCAGTGTTCGTGTGTTTAATGCTTTTTTGTCTTTCCGCGAAAAAAAAAAAATTTCTTCTGGACTCAAAAATTCTATCTTCTCTTTTATCATCTTTCTCTCTCTTTCTCTCTCTCTCTCTCTCTCTCTCTCTGTCCATTTCTATTTCTCTGCCTTTTGGATTTTTCTACAGTTATTTGCAAAATTAGAAAATTTTAACATGACACCAAATAAGTAGTATTTTTACAAAAATAATTTTTTGTGAGAGAAATAAAAGGGCGTATCGTTTATGACATTATCACACACAACTTCTGGAGGAAAGAAAAAGTTTTCTATGGAGAATTCTGTCTACATAATAATAATAATAATAATAATAATAATAATAATAATAATAATAATAATATTGCAAAAGTGTTGTGGGAGGGTTTAGAAAGAAACGATGAGAGGATTTTTCGATTCCCTTGGGTCGTATCTTCTTTCCAAAGTAGTAACACCCTATACTGGCATTACTTTACCTCGTTCGAAAGGTCCTTTTTTTTTTTTATTATTGTTTACCTTCTTGGGTTATCTTTTTTTTTCTCAACATTTCCCTCCCCCTTTTTTTTATTTTCTCTCTTGTCGTTATAGTGTTTTTTAAACTTTTTCTTTTTTCAAAATTAAAGTATCTTCATAACGACGACGCTTTGGCGTTCGTGTGTTTGCTTTTTGTCTATTGGAGCAGCTCTTTAAAAAAAAAAAAAAAAACATTTTCTCTTTTTTCACGTTCCTTAACATGGTGCTATATTTTTTAAATATATTGCATTTTGCGAAAAAAAATAATTTTTTTTCATCAATATCTACTTGAATTTTTTTTTTCAAAGAAAATAACTAAAAAGTGTTTTTTTTTTTTTTTTTTTTTTAATAAAACATATATTTTTAATTTTTTGTAAAATTATTCAGTAATACAAGAAACAGAAAACTTTTTTATTCCGTTTTTTCATATTTTGTAATCTAATTTCAAAATGTAATAAAGAATTTAGGTAACAGACATTTAAAATCCCTTAAGGATATTCAACTAATTGACATAACCTCAAACTAAAAAGTTGTAAATAAATATATTAATATTATATTATATTATTTAAAATATATTAATTACTATAATTAAAATTGATTACAGAAAAATTTGGAAGATTCAGTTGTATAATATTTACCAAAGAAAAAAAAAATTATTTTGAGTCACAATTTGTTGTTAAATAATAATTATTTAACTTTTTTTTTTGTTTAAGGTTAATAGTTTTTATCTATTTTTTACAAACAAATGAGTAGTATGAATTTAATAATAATTTTTGGAGTTTTTGTTTCTAAAAATTGGATAAAAATTAAAATTATTTACTAACTCTAAACAAAAAATTGTTAAATAATTATCATTTGACAAGAAATTTTATGTAAAAAAAAAAATATATATATATATATATATATTATTTTTTTGAAAATTGTACAACTAGATTTTTCAAAATTTAGTAAAATTAATTTCAATTATACTTTTATTTGATGATAAAATCAATTTTTAGTTTGAGGTTATGTCAAGAGATTGAACTGTCTTAATAATTCAAATAAATTAAATGATAAACCGTCAAAAACATAACCTTAAAACATATGGAACTCAAAAACAAAACTATAAATAAATATTTGTTTATAATAATAATAATAATAATAATAATGAGAAAAAAAATTATGAACATTTTTATTTAAAAAATTATTGTCTCAAATTCGTAGATATTGATGAAGAAAATAATATAAAAAATGGATTAATGTATTAATTTATTTCTTTATAAAAATTTTTTCTTGGTACAAAAATAATAAAATAAATAAAAATAACATTATTTAGAGTTTATTTTTTTTCTTCAAATTTTTAAGAGCCTTTTTCTCAATAATATGTGACTGTCGATTTATTCGCAATGGTGTAGATAAAAGCTTTAGGAAATAAATAATTATTATATTAATATTAGGGGATGTGCTTTGAATCTTGTATATATCTATATATAATATGTAGTGCATTGTTCCAAAGATTTCGTGATACATGCATGCTAAAAATTATTCTTAAAATTGATAAAAAAAATTTCCAACTTTTATTGTCGCATAATCTCTATTATTATATAGGTATTATAGACAAAATACAGGGTTCTTTTTATTTTGATTTATTATCTCGATCATCATTATTATTATTATTACTTATTGAATTAGTTTAACAATTTAACGAAAATTTTAAAGTTTACAAAATTATAGAGGACGAAAATTCCAAAGTAACTTAACTTTTGGAATTTAAGACCATTTCCCGAGGACAATGGCCTCCTAAAGACAATGGACCATAAAGTTTCTCATACAAGTTCAATAATACCTTCACAGTTTCGTGAAATTGCAAAACATTCCTTTATTATATATATTCATTTTGCTAAATTTCCCCATAAATTCAGTGTAGTATTTTTTTTAGTTTTTAACGAATTAATATAATAATCACTCATACTTATACACTGAAAGAAAATTTCTTCTTTTTTTCAAATTATCGGTTACTTTACTATTATCAAATAAATATTTACTTGAATCTAATAAATATTCACTTGATTCTAATAAATATTTACTTGATTATAATAACTATTTATTTGATTCTAATAAATATTTACTTGATTATAATAACTATTTACTTGATTCTAATAAATATTCA